AAAAAAAATGATAGATACATTAAAATTCTCATAGGAAGAAATTTTGCAAGGAAATAAATGTTACTATTTTCACTGGACAAAGGGCCTGAATTCTTTTGGTATAGCAATAAAGACATAAGACTTTAATCTTCAGACACTAACTTTTACCATATATTTTATTTCTTAAACATTTTTAGAAATCAATAAAATTTCCTAAATTATTGAATTCACTTTTACTAAATGAGTTATAACTTAAAAGAGTTATGACTAATTTACTAAATGAGTTATGACTTGAGAAATATTTATTATGTTTTTTTATTTAGTGTATTCTGGTTAGTTTTTAAGTAAAAACTAATAACAAGGGTTAATGAGATAGTCTAGATGAGTTCATGACCAAGAAAAACTGGTCATGTTGAATTACTAAAGTTCCCGCCCTTCAAGGTGGTTGACATTTAACTAGGCAAAATGTCCCTCAGAAGTTAGTACTTGGCTAAAATGCAGTTAAATTTATCCTTGTGTAATTTATTTGGCTAGTGTTCAAATACAAGATTGGAATTTGTGATATGCAAGAAAGCAAATAGTTAATTAGGCCACTGTTAATTTTTATGGAAAAAGAACACTTTCTAAAATTGATTTTATGGCATCAAATCCAATAGTCCTTACTTTGTCTTCAATCTCTAAAACCAATCCTTTCTTTTTCAAGTCAGTCAATTCTACATTTATATAACAATTATTTATTAAGCAACTACAATATGGCCCAGTAGGAAATAAAACAGACCAGGCTGATATTCTAGATAGAAGAGAAAGATTAAAAACAAAAGGAAACTAAATTACATATGAAAAGGGATTGGTGCTCTAGGAAATAGTGGAGAAAGATAGGAAATGAGGAGGAGGGCTAGTGATAGCTTTAAATAGGGATGTAGGACCTCTGTGAGAAGTCGAAGCTTAAGCAGGGAATTACAAGAGATGGAAATTATTCTGCATTTCCTGTCTCTGGCTCTACCATCCTTCTTATTATTTATCTCTCCTTCTTTCTTCCACTTTTTCCCTTCCTCTTAACTAGAGAATCTGTGTGATAAAATAAGTGTTCTAAAGCTGTAGAGTCTTCATCAAAATTATAGTGGCTCTCCTTTTTGTGAAAATAATGTATCTGTTTTCTGGAGATGTTGGTATATTGTAGACTTGTAATTATTCCCCTTATCAGCCTTTGAGGATTTTAGCAATTATTATAATGGAAATATTATTATGGGGCAGGGGGAGGCAAACACTTCTTGCTTCCCTTGAGTCTACAAGGTAATCCTACAATCAAGATATACATAGCATTATCTTCTCTAACTCCAATGCAGGTAAATGGATGGCTCAAAAAAGGAAATACAAAAAATCTTACAGTGTTACAATTTTTAAATATCTTTATAACTCTCAAAATTTTCATGCTTGTTTTCCTTTTAACTTTTAGTATACCACATTGTCCTGAATTTTTTCTTCTATTATTCTGGCTTCTTCTACGTTTTTTTAAATATTTTTTTTTTCTTAAGAATCCTATTCTAGGGGCTGGGATTGTGGCTCAGTGGTAAAGCGCTTGCCTCAAACGTGTGAGGCACTGGGTTCGATCCTCAGCACCACATAAAAATAAATCAATAAAATAAAGGTATTTGTCAATCTGAAACTTAAAATATAAAAAAAGAATCCTATTCTAAGTCCTGTTCTTGTTCTATGTATTCTATGTGGGGAATTTTATCCATCCCATAGATAAAATCCTCCCAATATAAAGATTATTACCAGATTTGTTATCTCCAGCAATGATCTCTTTCCTGAGTTTTAGCCTGTCAGGTCCTACTCAGTGAAACATCCACAGGCATATCATGTTCAAACAATACTCATGATTTCAGACACATACCCAAAAATCTCCTTGCTGTCCCTCCTATCAACAACAACAAAAAATCATCACAATATACCCAACCAAGTAAAATAAAGATCTAGAAATTATTCTTTATTTCTTTTGTCCCTTTCCATCCTAAACATCCAATAATTCACCATGTAACATTGACTTTTCTTCTTTCAGGAAAATATCGTAACATATCTAAATAATTACACAAGCCTTCAATGGAAGTCTCACTGCTTTTAGTCATTCACTCAAACTACCAAACCTGATTACTTTCCTTCATTGCTTAAGTCTTCCCACAATATGCTCTAAGCTCCTTGCCACAGATTTTTTTTTATTTTTAAGCTCTGTTCTAATTCAACATGAACTGTATCTATGGTCTTCATCACTGTCCTGTAAAATTTAAAACATTGACCACATTGTTCATTGATATGTTCCAAAAGTATGTGTATCAATCTTAGTCTTGCCTAATAAATA